GTTATAGATGGTTATGAGCTTCCATGTCATGGCTGGGAATCTAACCCAGGTCATTTACAGAGTAAACATACTCTGAACCACTGAGCTATCTCTCCAGCTTGTATCCTGGAGCTTTTATAAACACAGAACATCACAGTGCAGCTACCGCAAATGTATATTGGTGGGAGAATCAGATGTTTGTCTCTGGCAATTGGGACGAGTCTATACCTTTACTGGTTCAAGCTTTTCAAGAGCCAAAATCATGTAAATATAAAATGTGTGATTTATGGTATCATATTCATGGGAATGTGATAGGGTGGTCTTATTCACTAACTTCTGCATTATTTCTTTACATATAGGCATGCATTAATTTCTATACATATAGGCATGCATTAATTTGTATATATGGGATATGGTAGTGAGCTTGACAATACAATTGGGCACCCTTTTTCTCACAAGAATTTGAGTCAGTGAAGCAGTTTTCTATGTCTTTATCATGAAGCTAATTTTAAAGTACTGAATTATATTAATTTGACAAAATAATGACACTGGTAACCAGGACAAATAACTAACAAAGGCACCAAAGGTGAGACTGTTGAGTGGAACTGTAAACACTGTCTGGTTCTGATGACCTCTGATAACACTGCGGTCTTGGTTTCCACTGCATGGGAAGGAATCTCTTTTAAAACAGAAATTCCAAAACTGGATCACTATATGGTCATCTTTGGCAAGTTCAAGTTTTTTCCATTGTGTTGAAAATAGTATTTGTCTTAGTCGCATGTTCTGTCTTCTTGGAGGCTCCTAGCTCCACATCTTCAGATGTGAGTATGTAGCGTGCAGTAACTACAGACACCAGAGCAAAGGGGACCATGACCAGGATGGGGTGGGGCACAGAGAATTAGAGAGGAGAAAGGCAGGGTACAAGTGATCTCATCAGGGAAACGGGCGAAGGTTGAGTCCTTAGCAGGGAGGAGGGAAGTAAATATAGAAGAAGGTGGGAGGAAGGTACAGCTGAGTAGCAGGACACAAGTGATCTAATCAGGAAAATGAGAAAATGGGGGGTTCTAAGTTAAAGGGAGGGGACATCAATATAAAAGAATGAAGTAGGTAGTTAAAATAACAATATGGATTGCTGAAAAAGTTAGAAGGCGAAAAGAGAAAATAGTCATAAAGAATCATACTATTAATGATTTACCCCACCAAAAAAACAGTAAAAACAGTGTTTTTCTTGATAGCTGGGAGTTAGTTCTTTAATCCTGAAGTGGAGTGTTCCAAAGGTGATGGGATGGGAGCTACCCTGGGAGACAGTTAGGATCATTTATAATTATAATTAATGATTACACAATTAACAGGGTGTGGAAAGTGCAATATATGTCTCCAAATGTATCTATGTCTTTAATTCTGGATTCTGGGGATATAATACTTCATAGTATAAGGAACATGAAAAAAGGAACATATGAACAAAGACTAACATTTTGCTGATTAAAATAGTAGGATTATCATGAATTTTCACTGTGATTCCATTACAATTATGAGTCAAGCATAACTTTCAGTATCTATAAAAATAGAGCATATTACTGGACCTCCCTGGACTGAGTCTACCAAGTCGATCACAGTCCTCGGGGGAGGACTTGTCCTGGAGGAGGTGGGAATGGAGGGTGGGCTGGGGGTAAGGG